AATATTTTTTAAAAAATCCTTAAAAAAATATTTTTTAAAAAATCCACGCCTTGTGTAGGTCCTTAAAAAAATATTTTTTAAAAAATCCACGCCTTGTGTAGGTCCTTAAAAAAATATTTTTTAAAAAATCCACGCCTTGTGTAGGTCCTTAAAAAAATATTTTTGAAAAAATCCACGCCTTGTGTAGGTCCTTAAAAAAATATTTTTTAAAAAATCCACGCCTTGTGTAGGTCCTTAAAAAATATTTTTTAAAAAATCCACGCCTTGTGTAGGTCCTTAAAAAATATTTTTTAAAAAATCCACGCCTTGTGTAGGTCCTTAAAAAATATTTTTTAAAAAATCCACGCCTTGTGTAGGATCCTTAAAAAATATTTTTTTAAAAACTCCACGCCTTGTGTAGGTCCTTAAAAAATATTTTTTAAAAAATCCACGCCTTGTGTAGGATCCTTAAAAAATATTTTTAAAAAAATACTCGTCTTGTGTAGGTCCTTAAAAAATATTTTTTAAAAAATCCACGCCTTGTGTAGGTCCTTAAAAAATATTTTTTAAAAAAATCCACGCCTTGTGTAGGTCCTTCAAAAATATTTTTTTAAAAAATCCACGCCTTGTGTAGGTCCTTCAAAAATATTTTTTTAAAAAATCCACGCCTTGTGTAGGTCCTTAAAAAATATTTTTTAAAAAATCCACGCCTTGTGTAGGTCCTTAAAAAATATTTTTTAAAAAATCCACGCCTTGTGTAGGATCCTTAAAAAATATTTTTTTAAAAACTCCACGCCTTGTGTAGGTCCTTAAAAAATATTTTTTAAAAAATCCACGCCTTGTGTAGGATCCTTAAAAAATATTTTTAAAAAAATACTCGTCTTGTGTAGGTCCTTAAAAAATATTTTTTAAAAAATCCACGCCTTGGGTTAGGTACCCTAAAAAATATTTTTTAAAAAAATCCACGCCTTGTGTAGGTCCTTCAAAAATATTTTTTTAAAAAATCCACGCCTTGTGTAGGTCCTTCAAAAATATTTTTTTAAAAAATCCACGCCTTGTGTAGGTCCTTAAAAAATATTTTTTAAAAAATCCACGCCTTGTGTAGGTCCTTAAAAAATATTTTTTAAAAAATCCACGCCGTGTGTAGGATCCTTAAAAAATATTTTTTTAAAAAATCCACGCCTTGTGTAGGTCCTTAAAAAATATTTTTTAAAAAATCCACGCCTTGTGTAGGATCCTTAAAAAATATTTTTAAAAAAATACTCGTCTTGTGTAGGTCCTTAAAAAATATTTTTTAAAAAATCCACGCCTTGTGTAGGTCCTTAAAAAATATTTTTTAAAAAAATCCACGCCTTGTGTAGGTCCTTCAAAAATATTTTTTTAAAAAATCCACGCCTTGTGTAGGTCCTTTAAAAAATATTTTTTAATAAATCCACGCCTTGTGTAGGTCCTTTAAAAAATATTTTTTAATTGAAAACATACCTGTTGAGAATACACTCTGTAGTCAAACCAAATATTTGCACCTAGTAGGCTTTGGTATTCATATTGTATTTTGTGTTTGTATCATACTATTTTTCTGTACCTTTTGTAATAAACGTTTGAACTGAACACAACATACGTGTCCGCTGTATTTAATTTCTAACAATGGTTATGGGCCCAGGATAATTTCTTGCTGAGGACAGAGGCCAAGGATTATATTGTGAAGGATATTACAACAAGGCGATTTTTGTAGCGGTTTAACAAAGGAAGATTTTGCTGATATTGGATACGATTTTTGTGAATTTGGAGTTGTGTTCCCAATAAAGCTTTTAAAGGGAAAAAGGAATTTTCAAGATGGCGACTCCGTCCCTACAAATAGAAAAATTGGATGAAGGGAATTATGATTCCTGGCACATGCATATGAAAAGCGTTCTGGTACATAACGAGCTGTGGAAGTATGCGAGTGGGACCTACGATTGTGACCCAAGATGGACAACGGAACAAAAGGAGGAATGGGTAAGACGTGACGAAAAGGCGTTGGCGATGATAATACTGAGCGTTAAAGGCAGCCAACTTAATCATATAAAGAAATGTAAAGTATCAGCGGAAGCTTGGAAGAAATTAGCAGAAATTTACAAGCCGAAAGGGCCAGTTCAAAAGGTGATGCTTTTTAAAAAGCTTATGAATTTAAAAATGATGGAAAACGAAGACGTGGCTCCGTATGTCGAAAAATTTGAAAACATTGTGGAGAAATTGGCCGACATAGCAATAGAGTTGCAGGATGAGCTCATAGTTATTATTCTTCTGTCAAGTTTGCCATCGAGTTGGGAAAATTTCATTGTTGCAATGGAAACTCGAGACATGTTGCCGACGTTCCATGCTTTAAAATTGAAGTTACTAGAAGAAGGTGAACGTCGTGCAAATACGAATGCCACATTGGAAGCTGATTCTATACAGCAGGCATTTGCAAGCTCTCAGCAAAAGAAAATATTCGTCAAGAAGGAAAATTCGGAGTCCAAGAAAGATTTTTCGGGAAAGTGCTACGTTTGTGGAAGAAAAGGACACATTGCTCGATATTGTAGAGAAAACAAAGTGGAAAAGGAACGTTCAAGTGCAATGTTGGCAGTATCTGGCGGATTTAAGAGTGGTGTGTGGTATGTAGACAGTGGTGCAACATCTCACATGTGCAATAGTCGTGATTTGTTCACGGAATTTGAAGAGTGCAATGAGAAAATTTATCTGGCTGGCAATACTTTCATAACTGCTATTGGAAAAGGTGAAGTTGTTCTTAATGCGGAGTGTGAAGTCCGTTTGAAAGATGTGCTGTATGCACCGGATCTTCACGGAAATTTTATCTCAATAAGTAAGGCTGTCGAGAAAGGCTATACAGCAATTTTCACTTCGCATGGCGTAGAAATGAAGGACGCGGATGGTTTTGTCACCTTAAAAGCAAAGAAAGAAGATAACTTGTTTGTGGTGTCCAAGAAATATGATCATCATTTAAATGCAGCAAGCAACAATGATATGTTATGGCACTACAGATATGGACATCTAAACTTTAATGATCTTGATAAGATGAGCAAGAAATGTCTGGTAAATGGCATGAAAATGTCAAAGCGGGTTAAAGATGTGAAGTGCAGGACGTGCATGTTGAGCAAAATACATGTGGCTCCCTTTCCAAATATGTCAGAACACCGAGCTCAAGAATTATTGGAACTGATTCATTCTGATGTGTGCGGTCCGATAAATGTAAATTCTGCCGGAGGATCCAGATATTTCGTCACTTTTATTGATGACAAATCCCGTCGTGTTTTTGTATATTTTATGAAAGCAAAAAGCGAAGTTTTTGAAAAGTTCAAGGTATTTAAGCAAGAAGTCGAACGCCAAACTGGAAAGAAAATTAAGATACTACGGAGTGATAATGGGCGTGAGTATATAAACAATCAGTTTGATTCATATCTACAAGATCAGGGTATAGTACGTCAACTCACGGTGGCCTATACCCCACAACAAAATGGAGTAGCAGAAAGAGCTAACCGTACTATTGTGGAGATGGCACGTTCCATGTTGATCCATGCAAACCTTCCTCAAAATCTGTGGGCAGAAGCTGTTTTAACTGCGGTGTATTTGCGGAATCGATCTCCAACAAAGGTTCTATGTGAGAAAACTCCTTACGAGGTATGGTATGGAAGGAAGCCAAAGGTTAGCCATCTCAAAGTATTTGGTGCATGTGCTGTAGCTTTGAATAAAGGAAGGAGAGCGAAATTTGATCCCAAGGGGAAGCAATATATAATGATTGGCTATTCATTAGTTGCAAAGGCATATCGTTTATACGATAGTAGTACTCAAACCGTGATTGAGAGACGCGACGTAATTTTTGATGAAAATTGCCTTCAAAATTCCAGTAGTGTCCAAAACGGGACTAGATTCGAAGATAAGGATTCATATTATATGGTATTGGATAACGAAAACGAACAAGTTTCAGATTTGCCCGAAACTAATCCGGATTCAGATGGAATTGAAGATCAGGAAGAGGATTTCAACACCGCCGAAGAGAGTAGTGATATTACAGAAGAAGACGAAGTAACAATTCAGCAAATTGCTGAGGAAAATAATGATTTGGAAGAAAATTTGAATCGAGGAGAGCAGAGAATAGGTCGTGGAAGACCGAAGATAATTCGAGATGGAAATAGGGGAAGGCCTAGGAAGCAATTCAATGTGGTGAGTGGATTATCAGATGAAGTAGAATTTGTACCTCAAACTCCCGAAGACGCCATGAATTGTGTAAAATCGGACGAATGGAAGAAAGCCATGCAAGTTGAATATGATACCCTGAAGAAAAATGAGACATGGTCATTAGTTGATTTACCAACTGGGAAGAAAGTTATTGGCTGCAAATGGGTGTATGCCATTAAGACAAACAAAGACGGAGCAATAGAGAGGTATAAAGCCAGGCTGGTAGCTAAGGGCTGTAGTCAGCAATACGGCGTGAACTACAAAGAAACTTTTTCTCCGGTGATTAGGTATTCAAATATTAGATTGTTTTTGAGTCTAGCAGTACAAAATAAAATGCATTTGCATCAGTTGGACGTGGTTAGCGCATATTTAAATGGAGATCTGCATGAAGAGATTTATATGCAGCAGCCAGAAATGTTTGTGGATGAGAAGGCTCCAGATAAGGTTCTACGATTAAAGAAGTCGCTTTATGGCCTAAAGCAATCAGGCAGAGAATGGAACGCCAAGCTTGACATGTGCTTAAAAGACATCGGATTTACTTCATGCGATAATGAGCCCTGCTTATATAAGATGAAAATCAATGGTGAAATGGTTATAGTAGCTGTGTATGTCGACGACACTTAATTGGTTGTGCAAACAAGTCTATTCTGCTGCAAGTGAAGCGTGCTATATTTAGCGAATTTGACATCAGCGACAAAGGACCGGTTCAACATTTTCTTGGCATGGAAATTAATAGAGACGGGGAAACAGGAAGTTTAACAGTAAGTAATATGCAGTATATTAAGAATTTGTTGAAAAAATACAGTATGGAGGAATGCAAGACAGTGGCAACCCCACTTGATCCTGGTTTTCAAGTAGCATGTGACAAAGACTGCAAACGAGCTGATATACAAGCATATCAAACATTAATGGGAGAGCTTATGTATTTGGCGATCACAACTCGTCCCGATATTGTACATTCAGTAGCCAAGCTGTCGCAGAAAAATAGCGACCCTCACATTGAACATTTTAATGCAGGCAAGAAAATATTAAGGTATTTGGCTGGTTCTACTGAGTTGAAGATTGAGTACAAGGATGGTAAAAAAGAATTGTGCGGTTATGCGGATGCAGATTGGGGAGGTAACCCCATTGATAGAAAATCCTATACAGGATTCTTATTTTATTATGGAGAGTGTTTGATTTCGTGGGAATCTAAAAAACAACGTGTAGTAGCGTTGAGTAGCACAGAGGCAGAGTATATATCAATATCAAATGCTGCTCGAGAAGCTGTATATTTAAAAAGGGTGCTATATGAACTCGAAGGTGTTGAGAACAAAGCAGTGATTCTAAATGTTGATAATCAAGGTGCTATGAAGTTGGCAACGAACCCTGTATTCCACAACCGCAGTAAGCATATTGATATCAAATATCATCACGTTCGCGATGAAATATGTAAGAAGCAAATTGAACTTAAATATGTCAACACTAATGAAATGATTGCGGATATATGCACTAAGAATTTGCACAAAATTAAACATAAGAAATTTGTAGAATTAATGAACTTAAAAAATGTTGAATAATTATAATATTCGGTTTGAGGGGAAGTGTTGAAAACATACCTGTTGAGAATACACTCTGTAGTCAAACCAAATATTTGCACCTAGTAGGCTTTGGTATTCATATTGTATTTTGTGTTTGTATCATACTATTTTTCTGTACCTTTTGTAATAAACGTTTGAACTGAACACAACATACGTGTCCGCTGTATTTAATTTCTAACAACACGCCTGTCAAGGATCCTTAAAAATATTTTTTAATAAATCCACGCCTGTCAAGGATCCTTAAAAATATTTTTTTATAAATCCACGACTGTCGAGGATCCTTAAATAGTTTTTTATAAATCCACGCCTGTCGAGGATCCTTAAAAAGAGTTTTTTATAAATCCACGCCTGTCGAGGATCCTTAAAAAGAGTTTTTTATAAATCCACGCCTGTCGAAGGACCAAAAATATTTTTTTATAAATCCACGCCTGTCGAAGGACCAAAAATATTTTTTTATAAATCCACGCCTGTCGAAGGACCAAAAATATTTTTTTATAAATCCACGCCTGTCGAGAATCCTTAAAAATATTTTTTGATAAATCCACGCCTTTCGAGGATCCTTAAAAATATTTTTTTAAAAACCACGCCTGTCAAGGATCCTTAAAAATATTTTTTTTATAAATCCACGCCTGTCGAGGATCCTTAAAAATTGTTTTTTTATAAATCCACGCCTGTCGAGGATCCTTAAAAATTGTTTTTTTATAAATCCACGCCTGTCGAGGATCCTTAAAAATTGTTTTTTTTATAAATCCACGCCTGTCAAGGATCCTTAAAAATATTTTTTAATAAATCCACGCCTGTCAAGGATCCTTAAAAATATTTTTTTATAAATCCACGACTGTCGAGGATCCTTAAATAGTTTTTTATAAATCCACGCCTGTCGAGGATCCTTAAAAAGAGTTTTTTATAAATCCACGCCTGTCGAGGATCCTTAAAAATTGTTTTTTTTTATAAATCCACGCCTGTCGAGGATCCTTAAAAATATTTTTTTATAAATCCAGGCCTTTCGAGGATCCTTAAAAATAGTTTTTTATAAATCCACGCCTGTCGAGGATCCTTAAAATTATGTTTTAATAAATCCACGCCTTGTGTATGGCCTTAAAAATTATTTTTTTTAAAATCCACGCCAATCGAAGATCCTTAAAAAATATATTTTTTAAACCCAATATAATATCCAATTGAAATTACTGAACCAATTCAGTAATTTCAATTAAATAAAATACCAATGGGACCTTGTTACGTATACGTTCTGACAGCACTCATACGCAACCAGGCCCTCGTTGTTTAAGATTATTAAAAAATAACATTTTCCAGATGTCTGCATCCTTTTTGTTTAATCATTTTTTCTTTCATCAAAAGATTATTTATGAGTAAATTAAATTCACCTTCTTTCCAACCTAAAAAAATAATGCTGTAATTCCTCCTCCAGCAACAGTTGTTAATCTGCACATCCTCCCACACCCCACCTCTTCCCCCTCCACTGAGCTATCACACAATTTGTCAAAATCATTTCAAAATTTATTATGGCCATCATTAAAATTTCGTAAGCAGTTTTCTGTCAATCACTTCGTCCAACCGACCAAGAATCTATTCAAACAACCCGTCGAACATCCCGCCAAGCCCCGCATCAGCCATTAATCATTTTTATAGTTAACCAAACCAATTTTAACATTCAAACCAAAGAGCAAAAACAAAAGAACATCGACGATGTTGGAAAAAAAATCTACCCACCATAAAACCTAATTTTTATGGTTGACCCAACACTAGCTACAGAGCGGCGCCGAACCCCCCGACCCTTTCCTTTTGAGCTATTAAAATATAAATAGTCATAAAAAGGATTCTGGCTGGATTTAGTGGCATGCTTTTTGAAAGGCTCCTGAAAGGCAATGGACGGACAACATTTTACGGGGCTATAAAATTATGACAATATTTATAAGAGAAGAGGTGGTTAGGGGGAGGTTGATCGGAGATGAATAATAATTAATGGAGTTGGAAGAAAAAATATTTCAAAGGCTCTTATTAAGGCCTGGATTTTTTGACAAGTATTTCTAAGAAACCATTTTTAAGGGTCCACATAAGGCCAGTATGCTTCATTTTAGGGGAATGGTGTTAATGGAAAAAATCTTCCTTATCGAATTCCACTATGGGTCACCGAACACAAGAAATCCGTAGATTGAATACATAACTTAGAAAATAGCGATGAAACCTGAGATATAGAACTATTTCTATTTCTGTTGCACTTTTCCCCATTTAGGCTAATTTGACCACCTAGAAGTCATTTTAGCGGAACACTACCAATGGGAAAAATCTTCCCTATTAAAATTCACTATAGGTCACACCACAGAAGAATCCCCGATATATAATATATATAACCTATAAAATACCTCTACAAATCGCAATATTTTTTCAGAAGATCCTTCCAAAAATATGGAAATTTCCTTGAAATACAGGTAAATAACTTTTGAGACCATAGGGCGTATAACTACTGACGTTACTTATACGCACAGCTATCCAAAATTTATTTTTATTTTATTTTATTTTAAAAAATGTTTCTAAGGCTCTTAATAAGGCCTGGATTTGTTTAAAAATATTTCTAAGGTTCCTCATAGGGCCAGAATTTTTTAGAAAATATTTCTAAGGCTTCTCATAAGCCCTAGATTTTTAGAAAATGTTTTAAGGCTCCACATAAGGCCCGGATTTGTTTGTAAAATATTTCTAAGGCTCCACATAAGGTCAAAAACCTTCTGAGTCCTACTATTGTTCTACCAAAATTTCTGATAATTCTGCTACTGCGGAGAAGGCTTTTGAGACTCGAAAAAATATTTCTGAGGCCTATATTTACCAAGCACAACCCTATGTGGCCTATTGTGAACCGACAAAGAACTATCAACTTGCAGGACAACAGAGAACAGAATCTCGATAAATTGTCTGCTACTGTAGATAATACTTCTGATGTCACCTGCAGCTGAATAGACATCTCCCGAATTATTTTAAACCCGACAGGCTGGAAAAGCCGTATGCGACTTTTGAAGAGTACTTCTGAGGACATCTGGGAACCCAGTTTGCCTATTCATGTTCTTCTGCTTCAGAGAATATTCATTATTATGCGTCTAGCCAAAACCGATATTTACACACTGCGGAGAAGTTCTCAGATACTGTCTGTGGTCTTTGGTGATGGTGAAAGGCTCCTCATAAGGCCTGGATTTTTTAGAAAATATGATTAAGGCTCCTTATAAGGTCAGGATTTTCTAGAAATTATTTTTAAGGCTCCTCATAAGGCCACGACATTTTAAAAATATTTCTAAGGCTCCTCATTAGGACTGGATTAAAAAAATTTTTTTAAAGATCCATTCAAAAATATTGAAATCTCCTTGAAATATAGGTAAATAACTCTTGAGACTATGGGTCGTATAACTAGTGACGTTACTTATACGCACACCTATCCAAAATTTATTGTTGATTTTTAATGTTTCTAAGGCTCCTCATAAGGCCTGGATTTGTTTAAAAATATTTCTAAGGTTCCTCATAAGTCCATGATGTTTTGAAAAATATTTCTAAGGCTCCTCATAAGGCCAAGATTATTTAGAAAACAGTTTTAAGGCTCCTCATAAGGTCTGGAATTTTTAGAAAATATTTTTATGGCTCCTTATAAGGCCTCGATTTTTTGAAAACTATTTCTAAGGCTCCTTATAAGGCCTAATTTAAAAAACAATATTTTTTCAACGATCCATCCATAAATATTTGAAATCCCCCTTGAAATATAGGTAAATAACTTTTGAGACCATAGGGCGTATAACTTGTGACGTTACTTATACGCACAGGTATCCAAAATTGATTTTTCAATTCTTCTCCTTTAAATCAAATCCATTTCTATTTATTCTTTAAGCCCAGAATTACTACCAATTTTACTGTCTACAGTTACGCCCCAGCCATGTCCTTATCATTAACAAATCTACCTTCATTCTTTGCTCTGGACAGTAATTTCCTTTTTTGCATTCCAATTCGTCTGCTTATTCTGATACCCAGGTTCGTAGTCACGGCCACCTGCGACTTCGACTGCCACTAATTTTAATTAGAATATTCTGACTACCTGCAGCTCCGAACCCTTCGAATGGCTGTGGCATGCAACAAACCGATTATCAGAAACGGCTAGACGTAAAAAACAAAAATCGGAAAAACGAACCAAGGAGAGACGAGAAAAAAGATTGCATGTTACTCGATAAGGTTTTTTGTTGTTTTTTTTCGGCTGGCGTGCATATTTTATGTCTGAATCTAGCAGACATAACAAACACACATATATATACATACGTTTACACACACACAAAATTCTCTTCACAACTACATTTAAGGTAAAGTATTGAAGCATGTGAATTTTTGAAGGGGAGTAACAGACAGTGGTTTTGAAAAAAATATTCAAGTAATTTAAAAATAATGGTCTTTTTCGGAATTCTAATACATAATTTAAGGAAGTTAACACTGGGGCGTATAACTATTGGCATTACGTATACGCCACAGGTAACCTTGAATATTAGTTCCTTAAAGCAAATATTGGCAGAGTACAGTGACGTATAACTACTGGCGTTACTTATACGTTACCGGGAACATCAGTGGTTATTTATTTAAAAAAAAAATATATTAGAAGATTTATTTCTTCCGTAAAGGAAGCCTCAAATCTTCTTGCATCATGCGACAGAAAATCCATTTTTATATTTTTCTGTTTTGGAAAAAAGAGGCTCTTAAGGCATATAAGAAAGTCTTAGAAATCTTCAGAGAATGCTAAGAGCTCGAGAAAACCTTACCTGTTACTTTATAAAAGGACTTTTTGGAAGGTTTATTTTTCTCCGAAAAGGAGACCTCAAATATTATCAAAAGTTATAACTTGGTCAGAAGAAATACATTTTTTTCTTTATTAAAGAGAAATATATGTAATGGTGCTGAGGCGTATAACTATTGTCATTACGTATACGTTACAAGGAACC